CTGAACTTAAAGACAGGAAAAAAACTGGAAATTGAAATGGACTGATTTGCCCACTCCTGTTTACTTTGTGGTAGCACACTTCTAATGGAAAGCCATGGCCCTGGGGAAATCTTTCAGGAGTCATCTAGTGTGCACCTCCTAGCCCCTAAGACAACCCATTTCATTTTCTATTACATGTTATTGAAATACCAAAGTTGTTTTGGAGGCAATTTAACCAGACAATGAATGGAAAACTTCAACAATATTACAACTGGCATTACTCTGGTTTTCAAAGAGCAGTTCCTACATAAATGATGCTATTTGTAGCACTTTCTGAAATACTTATAACGAATGTTTATTTTTCTTTCCTGAATTGTTTATTTTTTATTATTATGCTAATGAATGAATTGAAGCATTCTTCCCCTGATATTTTTCAAATAAATACATTCTTTTAAAAAAACAAACTAATTTCAGGAGACTCAACTTCAAATTGAGCCTTATCACAGAAACAGCTAACTAGTGTATGTGTCTGTTGTTTTTAAGGTTACCAGTGACTTCCACAATGCATTGTCCATCTTCACCTCCATGTTGCATAATCAACAACAACAACAACAACAACAACAACAACAAATCCGTTTATTGTGAGGACCATGCCTGTACACAAACATTAACACAACAATAGTTAAAAGATATTAAAATTCACTACATACTACGCCAACAAAACCTTCATCCCACAAAATAGAAAGAGAGGGAAAACGAGCAACGAGTTAAACAGACGATGAAGGGGTCTTTACATTGTCATCCATAAGTCTTTCCCTGGCTTTCATGGCCTTTATCACAAAAACCGCTACCACATGGGTAATACGTGGGTTTGCATCAACTAACAAAAATTTTACTCTATCTTCAGGATTGGTTATAGAGTTGGGTATAATTTGCAGCAATGCGTCTCTAAAGCTCGAGTAGATGGGGCAATAGAGGAGGTAATGTGTAAGATCCTCTTTAATTTTCATAAGGCAAGGGCATAAACGATGTTCTACTGGGGTTTTTGTGAATCTACCGGTCAGATATGCAGTTGGCAGTGTTTGAAACCGTGCCATAGTGAAAGCTCTCCGAAGGGTGGGGTCAGTGATCTCCACCAAGTAGTTGGCACAGGTTTTGACTGCTCTTACTCGGGGAAACCTGTAGGCAAACCCAGAGTTTTTTATCTTTGTGGAGTCCAAATAGGCGTCTTTTTCAAAGATCCATTCCCGGACTTTATCAGGGCTCCACAATTTAAGGGTATTAAACTCAGGTAGATTGTATCTGGATAGGATATCTAGTAGGTTTTTATGCCAAGTAGTATTATTTTGTAATAATACAAAGGCTTGTTTAGCCAATAAGGTGTTCGGGGCATCTGTGAGGTTGGTGAAAAACGCAGGAATCTTAAGTGGGCCCTGGCAGACACAGAAGGTAATCCTACTTCCACTCTTAGGAGAGCTGCCGGAGTACTCTGAGGAGGCCTAGAATTCTTCTGAGGTAAAAATTTTGGAAGATTTCAAGCCGTTCTAACAGCTTCTGATTCCATCCCCAGAGTTCTACTCCATATAGCATCTGGGGAATCACTTTTCCAACAAAAGCTTTTAATGCCGGGATCACCAGTTGCCCTCCCTCGAATAAAAAAGCTGAGCAGGGCACCGATTGTCCTACGTGTTAGAAGGGCTACAGTCTTGAAGTGGGCAAGCCAGCTAGATGTAGCTTGGAAAGTGATACCAAGATATTTAAAAAAAAGACACTGTTCAATTTTGTGTTCATCTAAAGACCATCTAAATGTGTGGCGAGCTCTAGTAAATACCACAATTTTTGTTTTGTCATAATTTATCTTTAGAGAGTTTTGGGAACAATAAGCTGCGAGCCCCTCCAGCATGCTATGTAGGCCCCTTCGAGTAAGTGCCATGACAGCCATGTCATCAGCATATAGTAATATATTCAGGTGTTTGCCTTCCAGGGCAGGAGCTGATGACTTATACTTTGCCATATGTTGAACAATGTCATTTATATAGAAATTAAAGAGGAACGGCGCTAACAAACAGCCCTGTTTAACCCCTTTCCCCAGTGGCAGTGGATCAGTATAGTTGCCTGACATCCCAGTTCTGATTTTAACTGTGGTGTCTGAATGTAACTCTCTAAGTATTTTGAGAAGTCGTCTATCAATATCTGTTTCATATAATTTTGCCATAATTTGTCCCTACAGATTGAATCAAAAGCGGATGTGAGATCTACGAAAGCCACAAAAAGTTTGCTCTTATGTACCTTTGTATACTTATCTATCATTGTCTGTAGTACCAAACAATGGCCTGTTGTACTATGGCCCTTTCTAAACCCTGCCTGTTCCGGATTTAGCAGGTTAGAGTGGTCAGCCCAGTCAACCAGTTTATTTAGCAGGTAGCGAGTGTAAAGTTTATACACAATGTCCAGGAGACTTATGGGGCGATAGTTTGAGGGGTCTTGGGGGTCTCCCTTCTTATAGATGGGGGCTACCAGGCTCAGTTTCCAGTTTTCTGGGATTTTGCATATATCATTTATTACCGTAAAAGTTGGGCCAAAATAGCAGCCCACCACTGGGCATTTAGTTTAAATACCTCAGGAGGAATCATATCCTCACCGGGAGCTTTGCCATTCTTGAGTGTTTTAATTAGCTGTAAACATTCTGATTCGGTAACAGGATCCCATCCCATTAATAGATCGTTTTTAAGAGGAGGAAACTGGCTCGGTTTAGCAATGTTTGGAGCTGTAGCATAATCAATAGATTTCAATCCAGCAAAGGCTAGTCTATCAGGAGGAATGGGACATTGCTCCACCAATTGGTCTACCCTCAGCCAGTCACCACCTGTCTGCCTTCTTACATCCAACCTGTCATTGGCTCTGTCTCCACCCACTGTTGGTGTCCCTGTCTCTTGCCCAATCAGTCTCAATGGGCACCAGACACCTCTGGTTCAATCCCAGTTCAGATTTATAGAGATGAAGTCCTCCTCACTGCCAGGCTGAATGTATCACAGCTCAGAGAAGACAATGTAAAGGTTACAGAAGAGAAACAAAACAAAACAATCATTATACACATTTCTTCCACTCTTCTCTTTTTCTTGTCCTGGGGAGAGCCAAAGAGGTACCTCAGTGGCAGATCATCTAGATGAATTCTCCTTCTCCTTCTCCTTCTCCTTCACTGTCAGTCAGAGACATCTGTGGCCATTACAGATGGAAATTAAGAAAAATGAGCCATCGCTGATCTGAGACATTTGAGTGGGAGTTCTCAAATTATTTGCTTTTGCAGCAAATCAGGCAGCTTCTCTGGTTTTGCAATGCATTTTCTGTGTGGTTTCTTCCATGCTTTGAGAATGTAAGCAAGTGCAAAATTTACAGGGACATGGATAAAAGGGCAGTAAGAGGAAGACATCTAACAGCTGGAGACTTCAGAAGCTCCAGCTTCCATGAAGACCCAAGGGCCCTATATATGTAAGACACACACACACACACACACACACACACACACTTTATAGGTGAAACAAAACATCATATATTCCTATTAAAATGGGTTTAAATGTCTATGTTGTCCAGTGCTTATGTGTATTTCCTACTTTGAAGGATTGTTTTGTTCCAGTAACTTAGCATTATAGTTATTTTCCAACCAGGAGAGGTAAAAGGTAAATTTAAAAGCAGTTGCCAGGCAACATTGTGTGTGTGTGTGTGTGTGTGTGTGTGTGTGTGTATCAGTATGGACTGCAAAAAAATAACAATAACCATAAACTGGAAAAAAAATGTCTCCATCAGATTACAAACTTGTGCCTTAAACCTACTTTTACAAAAGATATTTAAATCAGTCTGTGCCTTATATGTGCCTGAAAAGAGAATGCACATGTGAATTAAAAACAGCATTTCTATCCTGTGTAAACACCATTTACAATGGATGCATTTCCAATTCAATGAAGTGCTTTTGTGAAAAACACCTTATTTCTAATCAGCTTTTACAAAAAGAGGTGGTTGTTTTCTTGAGCCAATATGATTGATTGCTGACTCACTGCGGATCAATCAGAAACTGATGAGGGTTCTGTTCTTAGCAAAGGACAGCATACCAGATCATTGTGCTAAAAATCTTCCAAAGCCCTTTGATAACAGCCAGAAGCTTCAATTATTTTCTACAAGCTTTGAATGAGAGACATTGTGTTCTGATGACCTTTACAAACAGAAATAGAAGTAGTGTTCAACATTGAAGGAGCTAGAAAACAATGGACCTCATCTAGCCCTGAGCAAGATATTTGGTCTTTGTACATCACAGTGAGTTCAGGTATGAGGAGCAGGGCATAGCTCAGTGATATGGAAAAGATTCCAGGTTCAACCCCTGACATCTCCAGGTATTGCTAGGAAATACACTTATCTGAAACCATAGGGAGCCACTGCCGGTTAGTGTAAACCAGTGTTCAACTTTGGGTCTCCAGATATTGTTGGACTACAACTCCTATAGTCTATGAGCATTGGTAGCTGGTTGGGAATGATGCGGGTTGCAATCCAACAACACTTGGGACCCTAAATTTAAAGGACACTGTTGTAGACAGTTCTGAGCAAGATGAATCATATTTGATTTAGCATTTAACACAGCTTCATATGTTCCTATTGAAAATTTCATTTAGGTCCTCAAAATCTATAAATTGACTCTGATGTTCAGAACTGAAATCAGGCCCTGGCAAGCCAAGCCAATGCCCTTTCCACTTGCCTTTCTTTGCTTTAGCAGCAGGTCATTACTCTCCCAGAACCTCAGGTATGAAGTGTCAGCTATGACAATAGATGCTGGTTTATTAGTATGAATAGGGTACTGTCCCACCAGCCTTAGCCTGCCCACAACCAGTTACCACCTGCCCACCTTTTTACTTGCAACTATCACCTTACTCCTCTTTAATCTCAGTGTTTCCCTTCTCAGTAGGTATAAATATGATACAAAACTTGGGTGACCAAGATGACAAATGGTCTGGAGACTAAGCCTTATGAGGAATGGTTGAGGGAGTTGGGTTTGTTCAGCCTGGAGAAGAAGAGCCTGGAGAAGAAGAGACTGAAAGCTATATGATAGCCATCTTCAAATATATGGTCTGTCACATGGAAGATGGAACAAGCTTGTTTTTTGCTGCTCCAGAGGGTAGGACCTGAACAAATGGATTCTAATTACAAGAAAGGAGATTCCAACTAAACATTAGTAAGAATGTTCTGACAGTAAGAGCTGTTTGACAGTTGAATGGGCTAGCTCAGAAAGTGGTGGGCTCTTCTTGACTGAAGGTTTTTCAAGAGAGGTTGGCTGGCCATCTGTCAGGGCTTCTTTAGCTGTCTGTGATTGCTGGGGGTTGGTCTAAATGACTCTTGGGATCACTTTCAACTCTATAGATCTATGATTCTAGTTGGCCCTATCTGGCTTTGGCTGATAGATATATCAACCAATCAATGACTATCTCCAAAATATATATTTTTTTAAAAAAATGTCTTTAGATACCCAATGTATCTTTGTGTAGGCCAGGGCTGGAGAATGTGTGGCTTTTCAAATGATGCTGGACTAAAAGTCCCATCGTCTCTGACCATTCATTATGCAATCTAGGAATGCTGGGAGTTGGAATCCAACAATGTCAAGAGGATGTAGACTATACTTAAATCTGGTGGGTCAGTTATCTATAATCTACTGTTGAGATTGTTCATAATGTGAGATGTTGAACGGCAGGGAGAACTGTTTTAATCATCCATTGTCTATAAATAACTCTGGCATGTAGAACTAATCCTGTATAGACTAAAAATATTTAGTGATGATGAACATTTCAGGACAATTGTTTATGTTTGGCATTTTCATAAGGTAGGGTGTTCATATTATTTCTATACACACCTAGAGCTCCACATGCCCCACCTAAAAATAAAATGATGCAACCTTCATTTTTACTGATTAGAAAGGGATCTGAATCACAACTATAAAGAAGAAGAAAAGGACTTCAGAGAGAATATAGATTTAACTCTGAAGTCTGCCTTGTTACTCATCAAAGTGAAGTTAAGCTGTAATTAATCACTAACAGTCTAAATTTGTACTGCTAGACTAAATAATCTAATTTACAGAGACAGTTTATTGAGACTCATCTATGTAGCTGATGAGGCTCCTCTCTGCTAGCTAGGTGTTGAAACACTTTGGTTTTTGTTGATCCACATCTTCAAAAGATGGTGTGTGAAACTTATACTGGTCTCCCTGTACTTATTAGTGCCACAGGGAGGAGTTACCTACAATCAATTGGTTTCCTCGGGAATAGCAATAAACTGTCTCGTCTTGTCACAAGACAAGAAAAGCTTCAGAACACATGTCCTGATCTGTGTAAGGTCTGGCAGGAATGTTTAGAGTACGTGTCCTCAATACCAGGTGTGTTGGGTGTTATTTGCAGTGGACAGATGGATTTTGTTCTGTATCTGTTTCTGGAGCCATTTCCTCACGTTTTGAGATCTTGTTCCTTACTGGCCCTAGGAAGCTAGCACCATAACTTCTTTTTAGGAGTGGGAAGGAATATAACTGTTGAGCCATTTTGTGTTCTGTTTTCAGGCATTGTTAACAGGTTGTTCTAGCTAAAAAGTCCCAAAGGTCCCAAGAGGGTCAAAAGTTAAGCCCGGGATCTTGGCAGTTATGAGAAATGAAACCTAATGTTTTGGAGGAAGAACCTTAACTGTGAATGAAAATTCCTCCAGAAGTTTATTCCTCTTTTGATGGACCAAAAGCTTTGAAGTGGGAGTTTGGAGGCCCTGACCTCCAAACCCAGCAGGAAAAAGAGGCCCAGAAAGACTGAACTTGTGCATTAACCAATGTGGACTGGGAACAGGGCTTTGATTTACCTGAGAGTAAGAATTCTGGGCAAACCTACTGCAGCAAGGCAGATATGTGTTCCTGCTGCTGGAGCTGTGAACTGATTTACAAAGGGACTCAGCCTGCAAATTCAACAGTGATTTTGAAATGTTGTGATGTGCTTTGTTTCCCTGAAGTATAGAGTTAAAACCACAACAAGAACAATCCAGGTTGAAGAGCAGAAATGCTGGACTAGAGAAAGAAAAGGCTCGAACATAGTTACATCATGAGTGGAAAACTTGTGATCTTCCATATGTTGCTAAACAGCAAATCCCATTATGCTTGACAATTGGCCATACTGGCTGGGGTTTAGGGGACACAATGGGGCACAATGACACCTGAAAGACAGAGTTTCCCAACCTATGCCATGAATAAAAATTGCTGGAGTACTATGAAGCTAGATATCATGCACACTTAGCACACTGTAGAAGAAAGAAGGCAGGAGAAAAGCTGAAATAATAGATAAATGGAAACTGATATGTAATGACTTGGATTAGATAATAAAACAGCCCAGGCCAGTTTTAGCTGCATGTATTTTCTTCTGTAGATTCTTAGTTTCTTATTTTAGTTTATTTTTAAATGTATTTTGGACACCTGTTGTTGATGTATACAAACCTAAGGTAAAAAGTGAGCTCGTATAGGAATGAGTCCCGGTAGACTTAAAGTGGTCTCCAGTGATTGTGGGTTGGAACTAAGAATCCACTCATTAGCTTGTTCTTGTGATTACTTTCATTTTTCCTATGCAGTTGTGTGTTAATTTGTCCATCAATAAATGGCCTCATGTTCTGGGCCTACAAAGGTGAATAAGCTTGCCTTGTATTAAACAAGAATTCAATAGTTGACGTGGGTTTAGCCTTTGTATTCACCCTATTCCTAGTTGCTTTACCATTCAACCCTATACAGAGAGTTGGTTGGGTCATTCAAAATGTTCTGGAAATTAAAGGGCTGTTTAGGGGAGGCAACCAGGCAAAATTAGATATCCACATGGTGGCAGTGGTAGAATGAAGAAAAGCTGGTTTGCTTGCCTCTATTCCGCCTCACCATGCTAGCTGCAGCCTGTGTCATTACACAGAGAAAGTGACAAAACTTGAAGCTTGGCGTATGGGTCACTGCAGGTAGGCTAGCAATGAATGACTAATACCCCACCCACAGACCCTTAGGCAGAAGCTGGAGGGCTTATAGGTGCAAGAAGTCATTTCAGAACAACAAAAACACACACAAAAACAATTAGGCCAGTTTGTTTAACTGTATTCAGTTGTATTACAGCAAGTAACACTTCTCCACAAGTAAAAAGCTAGATTTGCATTTTTTTTAATGAATGCTGAAAACTCAGGCAGGTAGTCTGGAAGTGTGTGTGTGTGTGTGTGTGTGTGTGTGTGTACAGTCTCCCTGCAGCTACAGTCCTGCATAAATAAAGGGCTTTGCATTGCAGTGCACCTCTCCCCCACCCCTCCACCCAAAAACATAACAAAGCAGGCCATAAGGAATGGCTGGCATTTAAATATCTGCTACATCATCAGTTATCAAGAACTATGCATCCAAAGCAGGCAAGTATGAATGTCATTCATATATTTGTGAGCACTAATAGATGTATAAAGCTGATCCCGAGAAAAGGTAACTGCCCACAAGGAGAAGCAGAACAATTCACACAGCAACCGTATTCCTTTTCTGGTTGGGACCATTTTATAAAAAGGGAAAAAATATGGCTCATAAAAGCAGATCAGTAAATAACTTATCTTTTAAAAAGAGCCTTCCTTTCTTCTTCTGAAATAAAAATGTGAAATACCTTTTTATTGAGGGGAGTCACGCAACATGGTGATTAAAGTCGGAGGATGTGACTGCTGTATCTAATTTGGTTAACATCCAAACATTATCTGTCTCAGTAAAAATGAGTCAGTTAAAGGCTCTGTGCTGCCAATCCCTTGAAAATAGGTCCAATCTTAGACTTAGTTCTCACAAGGCCTCTCCTCCTCCCAGAGGGGAGGAGTTGTGAGTGGGAGCGGCTTCCTGCAGCGGCAGGGAGGCGTATCCGGCTCCCTGCTTTAGATTGGCTCTGCTGCTGCGGCCGAGCCTTTCAGCTGGCCAACAGGGCCGGCTGGTGGGCGGGGTTAGCTGCATTTAAGCAGCCGCGGCGGCGCTCTGTCCCCAGTTGGTTCCTGCTTGCATCGGATCTCCCATCCTCCCTCCCTTTTAGGTCAGCTTCCTTTGCATATTGACCTTGCTATGGACTTCGGATGGTTGCCTTGGTTGCCCAAGGGGCCTGGTAGGACTTTTTTATCCATTTGGCAAATTGGCACCAGCCTCTTGGTTTTTTCACCTACCTTGTAGCAACTTGTCACAACTTTCTGGTATTGGTGGTTAGGCACTGGAATAGGTGTGCTGTGTTGGAGGATTGGGTATGGGCCTTCATCTACCCCTCCTCTTTTGGGTATTCTGTTAAAGGAATCCGGTGGTCGTGGATCCTGTCTGATGCCCTCCTGGTGGCTAGGGCCATGGCACAACCCCTGGTGACATCATGGGGAAGCTTCCAGTTGTATTTGCATCAACAAGCTCCCCCCACTGGTTGTTAACTCTGAAATGACTCCCTGCTGCTGAGCGGGGTGGAGTCATGTATTGCTGTTTTATCCAATGCCTAAGCCAGTACTACTCACATGCTGTAACCAATAAAGTTGTGGCCTAATTTGCCCATTAACCTAAAATAATGTGTCTTTGTGTCTTGTTATAATCCTATGCAGGTGGCGGGTCCTCGACTCACAAGCAGCAGGTAATTATAACGAGTAATATCCAGCATTGTGTGAGAGGGCTTCCCCTGTCTCTCCTGCCATGAGGCCTCCCTCACAGTCCCCCAAGGGCCCCAGCTGGATACCACCTAACAGATGTAATACTAATAGCAATTTACTGATTTCTCAATCTTTGACTATTAGGCATAGCACATTTTACAGCAAAATCATAAAAAATACAATATCATCATAAAATCTGACTTAATAAAATTTGACTTAATTCTTGTTATTCAAACCAAGATGATGTGTTAATATATGTTATCATCTCAGGCCCTTCTTCATGTGTTTCCTACATGAGAAGTCTGGAGGTGGCAACACAATAATCGGCCTTGTTTTTGTGGTGGCTCCCCATTTATGGAATGTTCTCCCCAGAGAGGCTCACCTGGCACCTTCACTACATATCATTAGGTACCAGGCAAAAACTTTCCTCTTCTCTCAGGCCTTTGGCCAATTAAACAACATATGGATAATGCTATTGTTTTGTTTGTGACTATGGTATGTGTTTTGTTATTTTTGT